GACTTTTCCGGGGGAGGAATCAAAGGTGGGAAAAGGGAGGATTTGGGGTGATTTATGGAACAAGTGTGGGAAATAGAACGTTAAGGGGATAAAGAGGGCTAGTTGCATGTAAATAGTTGGCTGGTGGGTATGCTTGTTGGGCCATGCCCCGCATCGGACCAGCAGAATCTGTCCCGTGCATATGGGGGTGTGAGGACAGCAACTGGAGTCAGACTGTGGGTCAGAGGAGCTATGTGTCCATGGGGCAACAACTGAAGTGGTATCACTAGCAAAGATCAAGCTGGAGTAGCTGGAGAACGGGTGAAACGGCCTGGGAGAAAAGGGGTATGGACGCCTCCAAGGGACAGCTGGAGGGCTCTAGAAGAGCATAAGGCCAAAGCACCAGGGGAGTCCTGGCCAGGTGCATGTCTGTGTGTGAAGCTGGCTGCACCTGTAATGGGAGTGGGGCCGCAGCCTCAGGGGCTCACATCTCCAGGTGTCAGAAAGGAGGAGAACAGCATCCAGGAACCAGCAGTTTCCAGGCAGATTCAGTGCGTACGTATGTACGTGTACACAGGCTGTTGGTGCCATCTGTGTTCCTAAGTGACCAGGTGTGTGTGTATGTGGTGTGCACACGTGCTCTGTGCCTACCAGGAAGACATGTTCAGCCTCACTAGTGGTAGGACCTGGCAGGATGGAGGGGCAGCAGCCTCACCTCTCCTCGGCTGTCAGACCTGGCACAGTATGTTCTCCTCTAACACTAGACTTCCTGCTGGAGCTTTTGTGTAGTTAGCAGGACACTTATGCCCACACACGAATGCGTTGTCAGCAATGTGAAAAAGATACAAAGCAGTACGTGCCTTTGAAAAAGTTTTATTCTACACGCTCAGTTTCAGAAACCTTTACACAAGCTACAGGAGCCAAATCAAAGCAGCGAGTTGCAAAAGTTTCCTCTTCAGGTGTATGCACAGACACACTTTTCTTTAATTCACCTTTCCTGTGTCCAAAAGCAAGGTGTTTCACTCACTCACCTGCCCCAGACACCAAAGGACTGAAAGGACCTGATTTTTGGTTGATGTTGAATTACTGTCAGGCACTAGGAGGGTTGTACCCACACTGGAGCATTCCCTGCTCTTTCCCACTCCCTCCCACTTCCTTCAACTCTGGAAACTCCACAAAGCCTCCAACAACAAGGTGACGGTTTCTGACCCATGGGAGCATGTCTGCAAGAGAAGACCTACTCTATGAGCAGCAAAGCCAGCCTGGGGCAGGCAGGTGAGTTTCCATCCTGTATTTCAAGAGGGAACACATAAAGGGATTTGCTCATAGATACTGGCAGGTCCCAGTGAGAAGCTGTTTCACCTCTCACAGCAAGGTGCCAGCCACTCAGCTCATTCAAAATGCCTGCAGCTCAGTAGCTGGATCAGGGCTTGTGGAACACTGAATCAGGCACTTTACTTCCCCCACAGGCCTGCTTCCAAAAATGTGCCTGTCTCTGTTTAAAAAGGGAGTCCAACCTCTCCCCGATATCAACAACCAACAAGGTTGTCCAGAGGCTGTTCTGTCTTCTTCCTTGCTCAGATGATAAGTGCTATCTCCTCTCCGTGGTTTTCAGGTTTTCCACCAGGGAAGGAGGCTTTTTGGTCCTGTAGGCAGCAGTGCCTGGGATCCGTGCTCCTCTGACAGCGCTGATGTACGGCAAAAGGGGAGGCTCTCTCACCACCAACGCGGTGCCCTCGGGAGTGTAGGCTCGGAGCAGCAGCTTCTCTTCTGCGTGAGCTGTCACTGCAACCCAGCCTGCACAGACAAAAAAAAATACAGTCAGTCAGCAAGATAAGACACTAGTATCAGAATGAGGATCCTGATGCAAACTCGGCGCCTCCTGTGCTGGCTAAGCCACCCAGGTGCGATCTCCTTGAGAAACCAAGCTCAAAGGTAATATCCAGCCCTTTCCCAGGAAAAGGCAGCACCTAAATCCACATCTCCAACAGGGTAGGTTTAGATTGAACATTAGGAAGGAATTTTTCACTGAAAGAGTGGTCAGGCATTGGAATAGGCTGCCCAGGGAGGTGGTTGAATCGCCGTCCCTGGATGTGTTTAAGGGACGTTTAGATGGGGTACTGAGGGATATGGTGTAGGGGAGGACTTTGTAGAGTAGGGGAGATGGTTGGACTCGATGATCCCAAGGGTCTCTTCCAACCTCAATGATTCTATGATTCTATGATCTTACTCTCCACAGACCCAGCTCTTTCCTGGTGAACTTCAAAGAGAGGGTGTGAACTACCTAAAACACAACAAAGCTTTCTAATCTATGGCCCTTCTCTTCTCACCTGGACAGCGGACAGTGTCACAGCCATTCCTGATGCTGTGGAACTTGTATGGCAGGCAGAGCATAAAGTATTCCACTGTGGTCATCCTGTACCAGCATGGTTGTCAATCTCCATTCGTGGAGGTTGCCAAGCCTCAGCCAGACAAAGTAATGGCTGCCCTGATTTTGTGTTGGTGACAATCCCCCTCTGAGCAGGAAATACAGCTTCATCCCTTCAGAGGCCTCTTCCCATCAATGTTTCTAAGCTGCAGACCCTGCAAAGCAAACTAATGAAGAAAAATTACCTGCAGAGGAAAGCTTGATATCTGCAACTGCCTCAGTAGTACCAATTCCTTTCAGAGTAATGTCCTGAGGGACAAGAGGGGGGAAATCTTTCATTCGCTCTTCCCCACCCATGGGAACCTAACATCAAAACATGGAGAAAAAAATATAACAGTCAAGAGAAGGTTCAGCACTTCTACCTTAGACCAGCAAGCACGCATTCTGGTTTGAGCGACATGGGACTAAGTTATCTTTAATGCTTGGGAAAACTGCACTTTTAGAATTTCTGAAAATATTTACTTTATAACCAGCTATGATATGTGGGTTTCAAGGTCTCAGTGTTTTCGAGCCTTGCCAGGTGCAGGGATGGGGAGGAGCAAGACCTGGGCACTTGAGCCAAGCTGGCCAACAGGATTATTTCATACCATGAATGTTGCATTCAATATAAATTGGAAAGTTTGCTGAGGAGTTTCTCCTCTTCTATGACGGTTGCCATGCTGAGAACTTCTTGCCCCAGCACCGGATCCCCGAGCCCTTCCCTTCTTCCCAAAACCATAGTGCTCACAGTGTCCCACATTTGCTATCCACAGCCGTGAGTGCACGGCTTCCTGCTGATAGAATCGGCTGAGTATAATCCTTGTATACTTTAATATTGGTATCAAGATCAGTATTTAGTTCTTTAGTGTTATTAATGTTAATGTTCTAGTCTGTTTAAAATATTTCAACCCTTGAGTTTCCTTTTTTCTCCTGATTCCCCTTCCCGCATCAGGAGGGATCATCAGGTGATAGAATAATTGTCATCCACAGCCGTGAGTGCACGGCTTCCTGCTGATAGAATCGGCTGAGTATAATCCTTGTATACTTTAATATTGGTATCAAGATCAGTATTTAGTTCTTTAGTGTTATTAATGTTAATGTTCTAGTCTGTTTAAAATATTTCAACCCTTGAGTTTCCTTTTTTCTCCTGATTCCCCTTCCCGCATCAGGAGGGATCATCAGGTGATAGAATAATTGTCTGAACGACAATAATTGTTGTGGGTTTCTCAAACCTAACAGCATGACATAAGCAGGAATAGACTACTTGTCTGTTAGGTACTAGGCTGTTGCTAGCCAAGTAAGAGTTGGCTTGACTACCCTACAGGAGTCATTAAAGGTTTGCCAAGAGCAGAATCCAGAGGCTGTTCTGTCTTCTTCCTTGCTCAGATGATAAGTGCTATCTCCTCTCCGTGGTTTTCAGGTTTTCCACCAGGGAAGGAGGCTTTTTGGTCCTGTAGGCAGCAGTGCCTGGGATCCGTGCTCCTCTGACAGCGCTGATGTACGGCAAAAGGGGAGGCTCTCTCACCACCAACGCGGTGCCCTCGGGAGTGTAGGCTCGGAGCAGCAGCTTCTCTTCTGCGTGAGCTGTCACTGCAACCCAGCCTGCACAGACAAAAAAAAATACAGTCAGTCAGCAAGATAAGACACTAGTATCAGAATGAGGATCCTGATGCAAACTCGGCGCCTCCTGTGCTGGCTAAGCCACCCAGGTGCGATCTCCTTGAGAAACCAAGCTCAAAGGTAATATCCAGCCCTTTCCCAGGAAAAGGCAGCACCTAAATCCACATCTCCAACAGGGTAGGTTTAGATTGAACATTAGGAAGGAATTTTTCACTGAAAGAGTGGTCAGGCATTGGAATAGGCTGCCCAGGGAGGTGGTTGAATCGCCGTCCCTGGATGTGTTTAAGGGACGTTTAGATGGGGTACTGAGGGATATGGTGTAGGGGAGGACTTTGTAGAGTAGGGGAGATGGTTGGACTCGATGATCCCAAGGGTCTCTTCCAACCTCAATGATTCTATGATTCTATGATCTTACTCTCCACAGACCCAGCTCTTTCCTGGTGAACTTCAAAGAGAGGGTGTGAACTACCTAAAACACAACAAAGCTTTCTAATCTATGGCCCTTCTCTTCTCACCTGGACAGCGGACAGTGTCACAGCCATTCCTGATGCTGTGGAACTTGTATGGCAGGCAGAGCATAAAGTATTCCACTGTGGTCATCCTGTACCAGCATGGTTGTCAATCTCCATTCGTGGAGGTTGCCAAGCCTCAGCCAGACAAAGTAATGGCTGCCCTGATTTTGTGTTGGTGACAATCCCCCTCTGAGCAGGAAATACAGCTTCATCCCTTCAGAGGCCTCTTCCCATCAATGTTTCTAAGCTGCAGACCCTGCAAAGCAAACTAATGAAGAAAAATTACCTGCAGAGGAAAGCTTGATATCTGCAACTGCCTCAGTAGTACCAATTCCTTTCAGAGTAATGTCCTGAGGGACAAGAGGGGGGAAATCTTTCATTCGCTCTTCCCCACCCATGGGAACCTAACATCAAAACATGGAGAAAAAAATGTAACAGTCAAGAGAAGGTTCAGCACTTCTACCTTAGACCAGCAAGCACGCATTCTGGTTTGAGCGACATGGGACTAAGTTATCTTTAATGCTTGGGAAAACTGCACTTTTAGAATTTCTGAAAATATTTACTTTATAACCAGCTATGATATGTGGGTTTCAAGGTCTCAGTGTTTTCGAGCCTTGCCAGGTGCAGGGATGGGGAGGAGCAAGACCTGGGCACTTGAGCCAAGCTGGCCAACAGGATTATTTCATACCATGAATGTTGCATTCAATATAAATTGGAAAGTTTGCTGAGGAGTTTCTCCTCTTCTATGACGGTTGCCATGCTGAGAACTTCTTGCCCCAGCACCGGATCCCCGAGCCCTTCCCTTCTTCCCAAAACCATAGTGCTCACAGTGTCCCACATTTGCTATCCACAGCCGTGAGTGCACGGCTTCCTGCTGATAGAATCGGCTGAGTATAATCCTTGTATACTTTAATATTGGTATCAAGATCAGTATTTAGTTCTTTAGTGTTATTAATGTTAATGTTCTAGTCTGTTTAAAATATTTCAACCCTTGAGTTTCCTTTTTTCTCCTGATTCCCCTTCCCGCATCAGGAGGGATCATCAGGTGATAGAATAATTGTCTGAACGACAATAATTGTTGTGGGTTTCTCAAACCTAACAGCATGACATAAGCAGGAATAGACTACTTGTCTGTTAGGTACTAGGCTGTTGCTAGCCAAGTAAGAGTTGGCTTGACTACCCTACAGGAGTCATTAAAGGTTTGCCAAGAGCAGAATCATGATCACATCCAGAGCAACCCAGTGGGAGCCCACTGGGGGGTAAGAAAAGATGGAGAGTGCCCACTACAGGACCCAGCTGATGGCTCAAGCTGGCCACCTTGATGTGAGTGACAGGACTTGTTCCTGATGTGTGCAGGAACGGAGCTGCCAGGACAAGGACAGCTCACCCCATCCCCCATCAATCTGCAAGTGCTACACAGCACGTGGCAATAACAAGGGAAAAGTCACACCACCAAAACAGGCAGGGAAGTGCAGAGGATCCAGTGGTGTAAAGAATAAGGAAGGTACATTTTTCAACTGCAATCTCTTCTGAAGCCCCAGTCTGAAGGTTGCCATGGAAAACATCCCCATTGCTGCCTGCACTTTAAGGCTGTTCAAGAAAAGCCAAGCATCAGAGAGCAGAGCACCGCAAATCTTAGCAACTTGAGCACTTGAAACAGAAGCTCTGCTGAAATGCATCACCTCAGGTGCTCTCTCCTGACACAGCTGCAGCCATGCAGTCTGCGCAAGGCTGTTCCACACTGCAGATCTCTGCTCTCCCACTGCAGAATTTCCAAACTCCTGATGTGTTAGTTTTCTGTGTCAATTGTGCCAGGGCACTTCACCAGGCAGGACAGCCTGTCTATGTGCAACCAAGAGCCCGTGACAGCACCTCCTCTTACCTTTAGAAACTCTTGGCCAGCATGCTTCTTGTACATGGCATCTGCATTACTTAGGGTAGAAATGTGGACTGGCAATAGGTTAGAAGCCACAACAGAAAACCAGGCAGGCTTTTCTCCCTGAAATAAATAACAAGAGAAGGATGTTGGTTATGGTAACAGAAAAGCAGCCCTGAATTGCACTCTCCTGCTCAGTTTCTTCCATGCATGTTGAAAACTTGACTGATGTCCCCCAAGGAGAGGTCCTCTGTCACTGCAGAGCAGTCAGGGTTTATATAAACAGGGGAGTTGAGCTTCCAGGAGAGAAGCACCCATGGCTTCACCACCCTGCCTCAAAGCCCACCCAAGAACATATCCCCTGCCACCACATCCGCTCAGCTCAAGCAAATCATCCAAGAGATACCTTTGCTCAAGTTTATTCCCAAGAACAAACTCAGTATGGTTATTTAGAATGAGAGGTGAAGGATGTCTCCTGCCTGGTGCTTCTTCTCACACCACTTCACATTTCTAACCTGCATCTCTCATGAAACCGTATTTGGTTCCAAGCTTCTCTCAAGCTACGCAGACTGAACACGGAGCCATTTCCACATTTAAAAGCAGTTTTAAAGAATAGAAAATACTGCACACTGGTAACACATATCAACTGCAACTTTCCATCCCAAGGCATTTTGCCTATACGCAGTGCTTTATTAGCAGATTCATCATTTCAAAAGCAGTAAAGAAAGGGTCTATGAAAGCTACACACAAAGCCTTTTATTGCCTGGTACTATAACAAGAGATGAAGTAGCTGCTCAAAAAATCCTTTCTTCCCTTACCTCTAAGTAGTCTACACGCCCCAAGGCTGCTAAAAACAAGACCATTCCTGGTTTGAGAATGAAGGTGCGTGGAATGATGGCATGTGTTGGCAAAACCAGCTTTACTTCTTTCTCTGTCAGGAGATTTAAAACCTACAAAATAAATTGCACCGTCATAAATCATTCCACGTGTTTGAATGGAGACAATGAAATTAACATTAGTATTATATTGCTAGCGGAAAAAGATCAAGTGGAGCAGTGTGAAGAACTTCTAACAGAACAGTTCAATTCTGGTCCACACAGTAAATGTATTTTACAAGATGCCAGAACCCAAAATGCTCTTCCTATGTTCAGAAGCAGACAACCTTCAGCTTGAAAGTCAGGGCAGCCTTC